ACTCATGCTTCTTAAGTTATTAGGGAAGCACGTGTGAGTGAGGCGTTGATCAAGTTTCACCAGAGATAAAAACCCATCTCAAAGGTCCTAGCTGCTTTAGGAGAACTCTGGTGGTCATTCTGCCCGGCAGGTGGGGTCAAGCATGAGAAATGGGGATGCTACAGCTGAAATTTTCTGATCAGATGGTGAAGTGCGTGGAAGCCTCGCCAGCTGAGGGCCGAGGTTCCTAAACTAGAGAAGACTCGTCACTTCTTATATAGTGGGTGGGCTATGTAAGAGACCTGGTGGCACTATGGGTTGAGTGCCGAGCTGCTAACTGAAAGTTGGCTTTAACCCACCAGTTGCTCCTTGAGGGGAAGACCAGGCAGTCTCCTCACCCAGTTCTACTCTGCCTTATAGGGTGGCTATGAGTTGAAATTGATGTCATGGTTGTGGGGGTTTTAGTTTGACAGACTACTTGAGAAGATGAAAATTGTTCTGTGCTTGTCTAGATCACAGCCAGATCTCAAAGGAGTGAAACTAGAGGGGCTGGGTTTCAGTATGGTTTCATTAAGGAAATGCGCATCTTTGGGGGGCTTCAAACCATGGTTAGCTGGCCCATTGTCTGGGAGGCTGGCAGTCAGCCTTGACTACAATTGATCCCTATTCTCTCTCCAAATTTCTGAAGTCCTGGAAGCCTAACAGGGCTAACCCTACACCTCTAAAAGACTCTTAATCAGCCTTCCTTAGTCCTTGCACACACCAGAAAGGACTGTTTTGTTTTGTTCTATTTGACACTCTATTCTCTTTATCTGATTAGAAATAATGCCAACATCTCTCAAGCTCTTTTGTGCATATAACCCTGGAACCCTGTGAGGGAAGCTCCAGACTCTACCTTTGCCTAAGATCTGGCTTTGATATGCCCAGAGAATCCCCTCCAAGATGCCCCCGATGGGGTAGCATCTGTCCAGCTGAGGCAGATTTCCTACTAGAGGAAGCTGGTGGGCTCCTCCAGCACATTCTCCACCCAGAGCAGGGCTTCAACCTAATTCCTCCCAGTTCAATTACAGCCAATAAGCTGAAACCGGAACAGACTTGAATTTCTAAAATGCAAGCTTTACAATGATTAATGATAATCAGGACAGGAAAAAACAACACCCTGCTAGAAAGTGGATCCCCTTTTAGAAAACAAGAACAGCATTTGAATTCTACAGCAACCAAATATCTTGAACGGCAGAGTTGGGAATAACAGTACTTGGCTCAAAGATGGTGGCCAACCTCGCTGCTTTGAATGTGAGTTGTTCTTCCTGGCAAGAGGCCAGTTTTCTACACCAGGCTTCTGAAAGGTTTCTCTATGCCTCTTCTGAGTCTACTATTCCAGGGCTTCGATCTGTGATTTTTCCCATTTCTGTGTCATTTTAACACACCCACATTTTACAAATTTGGGTCTGTTCTGCTTTTGCAATGTCAGGCTTGACTGAACTGGTTTGAAGCCCTGGTGCAGAGCGGGAAGGGAAGGAGCTGGTTCATCAGGCAGTACTCTGTGGTTGTTGCTGTACATTTGCTGAAGATTTATTTTTCTGTTACATAATCAAGGTATTTCCCCTCCCCCCCTTTTTCCTCCCGGCATCCTAGTGTCATCTGCCCTGCTTTTCATGCATCACTACCTCTGGGCTCCTGGTAGACCTGGCTCGGAAACCTGGCCCTCCTGGCTCACTTTGTGAAAGACTTCCTTATCAGGAAAATGAGATAATAACCCCACCCAGCCTAGGTCCCAGGCCGCTGTGAGATCAGGTCAGAGGAGGCGGTGAGCTGGCTGTGAAACATGGCCAGCCTGGCATTGCGGCACTCGGCCAGTATGGCAGCCAAACCTGTGCCCCTCAAGCTAGGGAAGCTTCCACACATTTGCCCTGCCCTAGGGAAGAGAGGGTCATAGAAGACTCCACAAGTGGGAGTCTCCAGCCAAACCTTTGCCATGGGTGTGAAGGGCATGGCCCTAAGCCGCTCATGACAGGCATTCCCAGGCCAGCCTGTCACCTGGTCACACCTCCTGTTGGCCTCAGGTGAAATGTCTGAGCCAAGTAACAAGACACTGGGAGGAGAATCTTACATAAAGCCCTTCCCCAGTCTCAAGCCATCAGAGGAGTTGGTGCTAACAGAGGTGCCAACCCGGAGTCCGCTACACACGGAGAATCTGAGAAGTGCTGGGGACAAGCTGAATCTGGCAGAACTCCCACCCTTGGCTCCTGGGTTTGCCTGCCAGGCCTTCCCTCTTCTTGTCTGCCAGACCCTAGACTCACTTATGTGAGGTCACATAGAAATGGATGGCAGTGCTGGAACCACCAGGGGCTGCTGGGCCTTCCCCTTACCTCCTGATAAGATTAAATGAGAATGAATGCTTGCCTTCTGGGTCTGGTGAGAGACAGCTGTTGACCACTGAGGCTTCCTCACTGCCTGACTCTAGGGTCCTGGAAATGGGACTATCTTCAGGCAGCCCAGCCCCAGGCTGCATACCTGAGGAGGCAATAAGACAAGAATCCTTGGGCCTCACTGACCCTGTGAATGTCACCGAGGACAGGAATGCTGGGAGGCACTGTTCCTATCCAGAACAGGGTCTGTGGGTACCATTTGTTCCAGCAGAACTAGGCAGTGCAAACCAGATAGAGCCTCAGGCAGGCTCTCCCCACCTCCCTCTCACAGGAAGGGGTAGATCTCTGCCAGCAGACAAACAGTGGGGTCTAGGTGCCTAGTGACGGCGCACGGTCCAGCTCCCAGGGCGTCACGAGCGACAGCACTGTGTGGTGGTGAATGGTGCCACTCAGTGGGCTGTTCTGGCTAATTCGGTCCCGGATCCACTTGGCATGAGGGAGTCACTTCCTCTCTTTGGGCTTCAATGGCATTATCTACCAAATGCTAACAGCAATCCCTGTTCTATCTACTTGAGCACTCTTGTAAGGACCCAATCTAGACCAGCTAAAGGTTAACAGAAAATGAACAGAAATCATGAGCTTCCAGAAAGCTCATGGCATAGTGCTTTGTGTGTTGGACAGCTAAATGAAAAGTCAGTGGTTCGAATCCACCAGTTGCTCCGTGGGAGAAAGATGAGGCCGTTTCCTCCCTGTAAAGGTTTACAGCTCTGAGTCCCAATGGACTTCTCAACTGTTAGATGTGGCTCTGGGTTTGAAAGGGCATTGTGATTATCAGAAGAGAAGGATAATCAGGCTTTTAACTGTTGGGATAAAAACTAGACATCAGGGAAGCTGCAGGTGGGCCCAGTGGTCCTGTCTAACCCCCAGTATGCAGCCTTCCCAGGTAGTGAAGCACAGGTAACACTAAAAGTGGCATCCATTTTTCTTTAATAAAACTAAACAGGAAAACAAAACCCACCAAGATGTAAAAACGTGATGCTGAAAGGATCCTGGTACAAAAGATGGTACAACTATGTAAACACAATGCTTGGGTGTGTCCTCCCCTTAGGAGTCAGGGGATTCCAGCCCTGCTTGCCTACCCCTCCCTGCAGGTCCTCTTGGCAGATAGGGAGCTGGGAAGGGGGTGATGGAGTCTGAAGCCCAAGGGGACAAAGGCCCCAAAGGCAAAGTGAATTTCCACTTCCTGAGATCCACGGCCCAAAGCCCCAGGCTGGTGCCACCTTCTGCCTTCTCCTCATATCAGGCTCCAGAACTAAGCCAGGCAGATGCTCCGAGAGCAGAGGTGCTTTCTAGAGGGGTCTTGTTTATCATTTATTATATCTGGATGGTGACCACAGTGGGAGCTGTGAACCCTTCGAGAAAACCTGGGCTTGGGCTCAGAGGCACCAACCAGCTCGGCTGTGGAGGAGACGGGGGCCCCCTAGTGGCAGGCCCAGGCTCTCCAGGAAGAGGGAGGAAGACTGGCTCAGGACTCCTGCAGCCACGTGGTGGGGTGACCCTGGGGCTGGGTTTGGGTCCAAAAGCTCACATCCTTGAAACTTCAAAAATGGCTGTTTCAGACCCAAACAGAAGACATGAGGACACAGGCTACGCCCATGGGTGACCTGACTGCTTCTTTGACAAGTCACCTTCAAGAACCAAGTGTGTGTGAGTGTGAGCACAGAGGGACCCAATTCTGGACCGACCTGAGGGGAGAAGCTGTCACAGTGACTGATCTTAGCACTAAGGAATTTACTAAGGATGTCACATCAGTGCCACTAAATCACATCAGATCACACCCCAGGCCAAACCAAAAAGATCAATCTGGAACCAAAGGGTCCTCTTGGCCAATGAGCATCTCCACACAAGCTTATCCTAGGTCCTAAAGGAGATGGAAGAGTCCCAGGTGGAGAACTTTCAGAACGGCCTGCTTCCTCCACACAGCCAGCCCTGAGGCAGCGGCTGCCATAGCACCACGGATGTGCAGAGGGCACACAGTGGGCACTTGGTGTATGTGGCTCCGATGGGGACATGGTCAGTCAGAGGATCCTCAGATAAATGCATCCAAAGCAGCCCTGGAATGCAAAGTGTGGGAGTCTGAACAGCAGCAGCAGAACACACAGCCTGGACCCAAAAGGCCGAGGTTCAAGCCCAAATGGTCGACATATCATTTGGCCACAAATTTCCTATGCATAAAAGAAAAAAAAAATACCTTCTTGTTCATGAGGCTGTTTTAGGATTAAATGAGGGGGAAAGTCTGAACTTTGGGCTTTTAAATGTAAATATAAGAGAATTTGGATTCTGTTCTTTCAAAAATCAGGGTTGGTTTCTTTTTAATATAAAGTTGTTTCCCCCATATCTCTGTATAAAATAAACTCCAGAAAGATAGATGGATGCACCAAGTCTGTCCCCGGGGTCTAGGGCTTCTGCCGACACTATGAGAGTGAAGGCTCAAATCACTCCTTATACAAATAGGTCAGGCTGGGTCACCCCACCGGTTAATGTCAAAACTAGTGGTGGGTCCTCCTCAGGCACTGTGTGGATGGCCCACCCTGAGTAATCAAGTGGTCCTCCCTCCCCAGGGCTCTGAGACAGAGGCCACAGAGAGACCCCTCAGTGGATATAGATCCTGTCAGAGACAGCTGCAGGCAAGTGGGTCATGATCTGCATCCGCAGCCACCAGTAGTAGTCCATGGGGTGGTAGCGAGTGTAGGGGGTGGTGGCCGTGAGCGCGTGAGTCACAGCTTCGATGACGGGGGTGGTGTCAGTGGAGCCGCTGTTGCAGTAGGTCTCCATCTTGGCTATCTTCTGGTCGAAGTACTCCTTGCCGTAGTCGCTGCGCACCACCTCTGGCAGGTCTTCCCACATCTTCTTGGCGATGGCCTGGATGCGCTCGGGGCTGTAGAGGCTGGTGCCGGCGATGAAGTTGCCCGGCTCCACCACGCTGACCTTCACGCCCAGGGGGTGCATCTCGTAGCGCAGGCAGTCAGAAAAGGCCTCCACAGCGAACTTGGTGATGCAGTACGGCGAGCGGGCGGGGTTGGCCATGCGGCCAAGCATACTGCTGATGTTGACGACCCGGCCTGCGGACAGAGAGGGCAAACGCTGGCTCAAGTAAGGCAGGGGACTAGACAGGCTGGCAGATTGGGGGACCTGGCCATCTGGTTGGCTTCCTACCTTTCTGAGTCACACACATCAGGGTCTTCTTACTTTAGAGGGTAGTTAGGAATGGGATCGTACCCCTAAAATATGTTCTGGAATCCTGTTACAGGTTGCATTATGCTCAGATGTGCTGTATACTGTAATGTCTATAGATGTGAGAGTAGTATTGTTTGGAAATAGAGGTTTTCTTCATTAAGTCTTAGAGGAAGTTCCATCAGGATGCTGCTTAAAGGAAAGGAAGGTGAAACTTCATCTTATCACCTTTGGGCATGTTGTCAGAATGGGCAAGTGCCTGGAAAAAGACATCATGCTGAGAAAGGTGGTGGTGTTGTTGTTAAGTGCTGTCAAGTCATTGGCAACTCATAGCGACTCTATGAAGGCAAGTCCTCAACACTTGCGTGACTTTCGTCCTTTCTCCAGGTTCATAGGGTTTCCAGAAGCAAGCTATTACAGAAATGGATGCCACTCCTGCTTCCAAGCTTGTTTAATCTGGGAGCGCCATGAAACATCGACCACCATGGGTAACCATTATAGCATCTGACATATCAGTGCCACAATGTTCGGCTTCCCAGTGACCACAAGTTACCTCTGTACGACAAGTAGATAGACCAGCGCTATACAACCTTTGGCTTGGTAGCATAGTGTCAGAGAAAGAGAGGAAGACTGTCAATGAGTTAGACTGACATGGTTACAATAACAATGGGCTTAAGCATGGTAGAGATTATGAGGATGGCAGACAACAACATGCCCGTGGATATAATCCTCTCAGGGAATAAAGCTTGCTTTCTTATCTTTATGATGTATTGAATACTAATGACCGAAGACCAAATGAGTTGGAGGATGACATCAAGGGCTTCATCCATGAAAAAAGCAAAAGGTCATTACAAAGATAGAGGAGAAAGAAAAGACAGATGTCAGAAAAGGCTCTGAAACTTGCAGAAGAACTTGGGCCAGAACAAAGGGAAGAAATACCGAAGTAAAAGAGATGAACAGAAACTTTCAAAGGGCAGCTCAAGAAGACAGGGCAAACTACTTTAACCAGATGTGCAAGGAACTGGAACTCAGAAACCAAAAGGGAAGAACATGCTCGGCAATTCTCAAGCTGGAAGAACAGAAGAACGAAGCCAAGCCTTGAGCTGTGATAGTGAATGTTTCTTCAGGCAAAATCTTCAATGATGCAGAAAGCATCAAAAGAAGATGTAAAAAAATACACAGAATCAATGTACCAAAAAGAATTGACACTAAGTAATTTCAGAAAGTAGAATATAATCAAATAGTGACGAAGGAAGATGTCCACCTTGCACTGAAGACACTGGCAAAAACAAGCAAAAGAGTCTAAGAATTGATGCAAAAAGCTGAGCTGCAATCCTGAAGACACACAGTTCAAAGCCACCTACTGCTCCACGGGAGAAGGATAGGCAATCTCCACCCATACGATTAACTGCTTCGGAAAACCTACCAGAGGGCCAGCTATGGGTCGGTTACAACTCGACAGTACACAGCAGCAACAAGAACTAGAAATTGATGGAAGATAAACAAATGAATGGAGAAGCTGTGCCTATACTTACACAATGGAATACTACGCTGCACTGAAAAACAAGGAACTCATGCAATATTATTTAAAATGTGTGACCCTGGAGGACATTTTGCTGAGTGAAGTATCTCAATCACAAAAGGATGCATGGTGCCACTGTTGTAAAACAGGACTGACCTTGGGGTTGGGGGGAGACTGAGAAAGTTGGGTTCAATAATGTATACTGCATTGAAACAGATGAGCGAGAAAACTGTTTAAAAGGGATATGTGACTAGATATTTTTGTCAAGACAAGAGTCCAGAGCGAAGGCTGTATAGTGGAGTGGACCTGGGGGGAGGGATTGTATAACAATGAAAGAATTTTTCTTTTACTTTTCCAAGAGGGTAGTGTACTGGGGTGGAGGGGGGGGAGGTTGGGGAGGGAGAAAAGTACAACAATGAATGAATGGAAATAAAAAAATTTTTAAAAAACTAAAACCAAAATGAAATATCCCTATGGTTGATTAATAAATTACCTAACATTGTAAAAGAAAAGAAAAAAAAAAAGAAATTTATGGAAGGCCAACTGAGGTGTTTCAACAAAGAGATACAGCCCTGGCCCTGCAGCACACTAGTCTGTGCTAAGAAATTTGGAAGACAGCTACTTGGCCAACTGACCAGAAGAGATCCATGACTGTTATCATACCAAACAAAGGCGATCCAAAAGGTTGTGGAAATTACAAGCAGTATCATTAATATCACACGCAAGGAAAATCATGATGAGTATAATTAGAAAATGGCTAGAACAGTGCATCAACAGAGGACTTTCAGAAACTCAGATTGGATTCAGAAGAGGCCATGTAAGGAGGGATATCATTGCTGATGCCAGATGGATCTTGGCTGAAAGTAGACAATAGAACAAAGAGGTTTACTTGTGTTTTATTGATTATGCAAAGGCAAATGACTATGTGGATCACAACACTAATTATGATGAACATTAAGAAGAAAGGGAATCCCAGAACAATTAATTGTGCTCATGCAAAACCTATACAGAGACCAAGCAGCAATTGTCCAACAGAAGAGAACACAGCATGGTTTAAAATCAAGAAAGGTGCGCCTCAGGATTAAATCTTTTCTCCATATCTATTCCGTACATATGGTGAACAAATAGGTCAAGAACTGGACTATACGAAGAAGAATGCGGCATCAGGATTAAAGGAAGACTCATCAACTTGCCTTATGCAGACGACACAACATTGCTGGCAGAAAGTGAAGACGATTTGAAATACCTGCTGTAGAATATCAAAGACTTCACTATATTACATGTCAACATCAAGAAAACAAAACTCCTCACCACTGGGCCAATAGGAACCACAATGATAGATGGCGAAAAGTTTGAGATTGTCAATGATCTAATTTTACTTGGATGCATAATCAATATCCTTTATATCAGAAGTCAAGAAATCAAAAAACGTGCATTGGGAAAATATGATATCAAAGACATTCTCAGAGTTGTAAAGAGCAAGGATGTCTACTTGGGAGACTAAGCCATGTATTTCCAACTGCTTCCTATGCATCTTAAAGGTGGACAAAGAATATGGATGAAAGTAGATGAATTAATGCCTTTGAATTGTGTTGATGGAGAAGAGAACTGAATATATCCCTTGGACTGTCAAAAGAACAGGTAAGTCTGTTTCGGAGGAAGTGAGACCAGGATGTTTGTTAGAGAAAAGATTGTGAAAATGTATCTCGCCTATTTTGCGTATGTTTCAGAAAGGACTTTCCTTGGGAAAAGACATGCTGGGAAAAACAGAGGGTCAGAGAAAGATAGACCCTCAACAAGATGGATTGACACGGACTGTAACACTGGGCTTGAGTATATCAGAGATTGTGAGGATGGCACAGGATAAGATAAGGTTCAGATCTGCTGTTCATAGGGTCGCTATGAGTTGTAGTCAACTTGACAACACCTAGCAACATCATCAGTGGAGGTTGTGTCCTAAACCGCATCACTCCTGAGAGATATTGGGAGCAGCAGAGACACAGAGACCAGTTCGCACCAACTGGGAGGCAGAAGCACCTGTGAGAGCGTTGGGGCTACAGACCAAGATTAACGATCTCCATCCAGAGCTTCTCTCATCCCTAGCCTTTGTCCAGCTTTCTGGTGCATAGCAAGTAATTGAAAGACTATGCCTAGGGATGTTAGAAGGAGAATTGATGCCTTTGAGCTGTGGTGCTGGAGAAGAGTATTGAATCTTTCATTGACTTCTAAGAGAATTCAAACAGGTTCGTCTTAGAGAGGGTGAAACCAGGCTGCTCCTTGGAGGCAAGGATTCTGAAGCTTCATCTGATGTACTTTGGACATGTTGCAAGGAAAGTCCTTTCTGAAACATACACAAAGTAGGCGAGATACATTTTCACAATCTTTTCTCTAACAAACATCCTGGTCTCAGTTTCTCCTTGGAGAAAGACATCATGCTCGGGAGGGTGGAGGGACAGCATAGGGGAGGAAGACTGATTCAGTGACTGGAGTAACGGGGGTAGGTGTGTCGGAGACAGTGCGATTGGCACAGGATAGAGCAGGGTTTAGGGCTGTTGTACATAGGGTCGCTTTGAGTTGCAGGAGACTTGACGGCACACAACAACAACAACCACCCAGGGCTTAGTGTCTTAGTGCTGATATGATAGAATTACCGCCGTGGGTGACTTTAAGGGACAGATATTTACTTTCTTGACGTTTAAAAGGCTAGACGTGCCAATCCAAGACATCAGCTCTAGGGGAAGCTCCTAGGGGAAGTTTAAAATTGAGCTCAATAATACTCAAAAACTCATTACTGTTGAGTTGAACTCACTCATGGCTGACACTCCAGTGGGTTTCTGAGGCTGTAAATTGCACAGGAAGAGACTGTTCATCTTTCCCCCACTGAGCTGCTGATGGATTTGAACTTCCAGGAAGATCTACTTTTGGTTATCAGTGCGGCTCCCTACGCCACCATAGATTACTGACACAGCTGAGTACAAGTGTGTATTGACTGCTGGCCACAGGAAAGCTGGAGGTGGGAATGCGAGAAAGGAGGACCCCGGGAGTGCCAAGACCTGTGCTGTTAGGATGGCTCCCCCAGCCCCACTCCACTCCACTTCACTCCAGACAGCCCACAAACAGGGCAGGGGTAGGCGAAGTGCCATCTGGGCCACTGGAAAAGAGTGGAGATCTCAGCAGAGAATGTTGAAATCCAGTCTGCAGATGCCAGGTCTGGCAGGCTTCTCCTAGCCCCAGGGCAGTGGGGCTGAAGCAAAGCACCCTCTGAGGAACTTCCAAGGTCAAGGTCATTAAATGGTTGGACCTTTCTTCTAAAATGCTTTACCTGCCCTCTGTGTGCATCCCTATTATAGCTAGGACTTTGGGATACATCCTTTGGACTTTGTCCTTTTTTTATATTAATTGTTTGTTGTTCAAGAGAGAAAACCTACTTCACCGAAGACGACATTCAGATGGCTAACAAACACATGAAGAAATGCTCAAAATCCCTAGCCCTAAGAGAGATGCAAATTAAAACAACTATGAGATATCATTTCACCCCAGTCAAAATAGCAAAATTTAACAGAACAGCAAGCAACAAATGCTGGCGAGGTTGTGGAGAAACTGGAACCCTGATTCACTGTTGGTGGGAGTGTAAAATGGTGCAACCCCTGTGGAAAGCAGTATGGCGCTTTCTCAAAAAGTTGCAAATAGAGATACCATTTGACCCAGCAATTCCACTACTGGGAATATACCCTGAAGAGACCATAGCTGACATCCAAGCAGATATATGCACACCCATGTTCATTGCAGCTTTGTTCACAATAGCAAGGAGTTGGAAACAACCTAAGTGCCCATCAACAAACGAATGGCTAGAGAAGCTGTGGTATATTCGCACAATGGAATACTATGCTGCATTGAAAAACAAGGAACTCATGCAATATTATTCAAAATGGTTGACTCTGGAGAACATTATGCTGAGTGAAATATCCCAGTCACAAAAGGACAAATATTACATGATGCCACTGTTGTAGAATGGGACTGTCCTTGGGGTTAGGGAGACACTGAGTAAGATGGGTTCAATAATGTATACTGCACTGAAGCAGAGGAGGGAGAGAACCGTCTAAAAGAGAGATGTAACTGGGTATTTCTGTCATCACAGGAGACTAGAGCGAGGGCTGCATGGTGGAGGGGACCTGGGGGAGGGTTTGTAAAACAATGAAAGAATCTTTTCTTTTACTTTTCCATAATTTTTGGACTCATGTACTTATAACTTGTTAGTCAAATTTGTGTCTTCTAGGTTGCAATACCCCCATGATACATCTTGAAGGATATGTACATGTACAGCCAAGCACAATCAATAAGAGTGCATCTGAATTCCAAAATCAATCTCCATAATAGTCTATGTGTTTCCTACTGCCAAAGGGGCCCTTTAGAGTAGTGAGAGAAGATCTTCACCCTGAAACCCACAGCGTCCCTTTTCAGCAGGAAGTAGCTAAGAGAATACGCCGTCCCCTTTTCCTTATGACTCAGGGTGAAGTCTCTCTCAGGGAGGAGTGATAGGGAATGGCAAAGGATACACTGACAAAGAAGATTAATCAGAACTGGCTTTGACAAGCACTGTGGCATTTGGACAAGAACAAACTGGGAGGAGGGTAGAGAGAATAGTGCAACAATGAATGAGTGGAAGCCCAAAATCTCTGTAAATGTTTATGAAAATTAATAAAATATAATTATAGAAAAAAAAAAAGAAAATGCAATAAAATGTAATCGAATCAAAAAAAAAAAAAAAGAGAGAAAACCTATGAGGGACTTTGTAGTTTGTTTACATGAGGCTACCTAAAATGTTTTTTGGGTTTTTTTCCTTCCAAGTTCCTGATAATCTTCATTTAAGACAACAAAATCTGGATACCCCAGTTGGCTCATCTACTGAACCTCAGCATAATAACCCAAAGCATCAATATGCCAGAATGTCCTTACCCACCAATCCTACCCATCCTACTGATGCCCTCAATGTGCACACAAAACTTTGTGCACGGGTTGGGTATTACTCTAGATTAAGTTCCAGCAGTGAGGTTATAGCTGCAGCCATGAGGCCTTTGATGCTCAGATAGCTGAGCTTTAACTTGCTGTAATTTCTGAGCACACACCCCTTCCCCACTGTGTGGCAACAGCCTTCGCTCAGCACCATCTCCAGGCCCAGCATATCTGACGGTTCAGGAGCTGGGCCTTGCCGTGCATACTGGCTCTGCTGATTGGCAGCCAAGATGGAAGGGTGAGAGGGGCAGGAAGGAGAACCTTTTCCAGCTTACCTTTGGCCCTTCGGATGAGGGGGAGGAAGGACTTTGTGGTCCTCACTGTCCCCCAAAGGTTCACTTCTGCCACCTCTTTGTAGGTCTCCATGCTGGTGAACTCCACCTCCCCAAAGGTGGAGATGCCTGCGTTGTTCACCAGGCCCCACAGCCCTGGATAGAGAGGACAGACAGGCAGTTAGCAAGGTGGCAGGTGGGGGGGCTCGGCCTCAGGCAGCATCCTGCAGCCCATTCCCCTTCCCTGCTGACTCCACTCGATGTTTGTCCCCACACCCACGATCTCCTGAGACAGAGCACTCTCTAGTGCCACCAAGGAAGGCAGGAGATAGTGAGGCCCCGCGTGTGCGCTGTGACCCTTTCTGAAGCCTACAAAGTCTGTTATCTGACTCACTGACTGACTGGTGAGTCTTCACCTCAGGATTTTCTACCTTACTCGTGACCAGGCCTGCCGTATCACCCAGTCTGAGCCCGTCTCATCTCAAGACACACTGTCACTGTTCTCCAGCCAATCTCGCCTCCTCCAACAGCCGCACCCTGTATCAATGCACTGGTTGGTCAGCCTGTCTCTGTGCCTTTGTTTACATTCTTCCTCTTGCCTGAAGCCAGGAGACCTGGGGAGTCTTTCTGGACAGCACCCTCTGGGGTGGCGGAGCAGGGGAGGGGCAGCTCTCAAGGTCACACAGCAAGCTGGTAGTCATCTAAGGCTTGATTTCTGCCCAGTCTCTCTCTACCTTGAGCCTCTCCTAGCAACCGCCCCACTCTGATCTTCCACCTCTGAGTCATGGCACAGCTTCCTGGGTGTCCTGTGGTCAGTCATGGTGACCTGTTCACCAGTGCCCCACCCGCAGATCTCTGCCAATCATTTTGTGTGGGACCCTAGGGCTGAGTGCAGGTTTGGAACAGTCTGACATTCTCAAAATATACTTGGATTATTTCCTGCAAGACTAGCCAAGGGACAGCTAGCTGGCTTTTGAAGACACAGAGTTCGTTTCATTGGACACCTAACATTACAGAAAGAGATACAGAGAGGACTTCCGGTTATAGGGAAAGTCAGAGAGAGGTGAACTGGAAGAAAGAAGCAAGGAGGGATAGCTTTGTTTCGCAGGACCTTTGCTGAGCTGGGCTTTGTGGGTGTGAGCACTGGACAGGCCTCAGGACAGAAGCAGCACTGGCCTGCCATTGTGGAAACCCCCCTGGTCTGCGTTCTCCCCAGAGCCTTGAGCAGGCAAGCAGAGCAGAGCAGAGCAGAGCATCCCACGCCCTGTGCCCTGCCTGTGGGAACCCTGGCTTTGCTTGCTTTAGGAGTTAATCATGGAAATAAGTTCATGCAAATGACAGAGTAATTGGTCTCTAGCTGCTTTCCTTCCGTGTTACCCAAATTAAAGCTTCTCAGCTGACCTCTGGTGCTTTCTCCCTCAATTATGGAGAATTAAGTACATTTATTAGGGAAAGGAAATTGCTGGTTAACAGAGTGTTCGTCAAGTGCCGGCTCCCCTCGCCCACAGCAGCAGTTGTGAGGCCTGCCTCTCCCAGGTCTCCCCCATGACCTCACCCTTAATGAAGAGATCAGAGAGCCCCCTGCAGCCTCCTGCAGCCCCACACACTGGCACAGCCCCTCTCCTCCTGTCAGACTCCATCTCTCAAGCCTTCCTGCAAAGCAATTCAACTTTCCCCTTGTCCGTGGCTCTTTTGTACACCCTGAGTATCCAAAAGAGCTCTTCTCCAATCCACTCTGCCTCATGAGGACCCCGTCTGTGTCAGAGTCGAACCACGCTCCGTAGCATTTCATATTCCTGACTTTTCAGAAGTAGATCACCAGAGCTTTCTCCCAAGTAGCCTCTGGGTTGACCTGAACCTTCAATGACTCAGTTAACAGCCACGTGGTTAACAATTTGAACCATCCAGGCATGCTTCTGTTCAACTGTTGTTAAGTGCTGTCTATTTATAGCGACCCTATGACTAACAGAACCCTGTCCTATCCTGCGCCATTCTCATCATCCCTGACACACTTCAGCCCATTGCTGCAAGCCCTGTGTCAATCCACCTCATTAGGAGTCTTCTGCTCCTTCACAGACCCACCACCTTTCCAAGCATGATGTCCCTTTCCAAAGAACAGCTTCTCCTAGCAACATGCCCAAAGAACGTGAGATGAAGCTTCACCATCCTTGACTCCAAGGAGCACTCTGGGTGCACTTTTTCTAAGATATATCTGTTCTTTTGATAATCCATGGGACTGTACACTTAGGTGCTCAAAAAATGTTTAGTAAATGAACAAATGTCTACTAATTTCACATTCCCATATCCTAATGAACTTTCTTTTAATCAGATTATCCATCATGCAACTGTCTTCTCTCCTTCCTGTCAGTGGCAGAATGGCAGCTTCTGAAAACACAGTCTTTGCTCTCCAGTATCTGGCTTCCAGTCCTACTGCTGCTCTTGCCAGGGTCTCCAGGTTCCCCACACTGAGACTGTCACCCCCGACAGCGTGCCTTTATAATCATCACCCTTTGTGACACCTTCCATCCTCCTTGACACTTTTCTTCCATCAGCCCCTTAATTTGAGTGCCCCAGGGGCCTGTCCTAGCCTACTTCTCCGGATCATGCTCAGATCTTTAGACAAGCTCATCTCCTTTATGTTTGTGGAATCTTCCAGTGCTTTGCATTTTATTTCATACGGGATAGGATCACTTGACCCGAAAGGCACACAGAATCTTTTCTTTTACATCCAAAAAAGAAAAATAATTGCATCTGACATTGAGAATAATTTTAAAAACCTAGTTGAAATGAACTGAGTTTTGAAGCACACCACTCCCAGACGCTTGCTCTGCTGATCTTATGAACAGTCAGTGTGGGCCCAGTTCTCCTGACTGCTCAGCCAACATTCTCAGAAGTCAACAGCCCCAAACATCACCTCCACATACTGGATCCATGTACCCTGTGGATGTAGCCTTTAACCCCAGTCTTTATATTCCTGACAGTCTTCTCCATCTGAATGCCCAAAGGTTCCCAGCTCACTAACCAACAACCAACAAACAGTTTCCAAAGCTGCCCAAACCAGTTCCACCTCTTGGTTAACAATTTCACTTTCATCTTTGATCCCAGGCTCTTTCACTTCTCTAACTAGTGAGTCACCAAGTGCTTTAATATCCCTGATAAAAATCAAAATGACAGCTGCCACACACTGAACGAGGCACTTGGCTCCCGTTAACTTACCTGATCTTCCCAACCCACCTATAATTGGACATCCTGAGGAACCTTGCTCAGTGTCACCCAGCCAACAAGTGGAGGGTCTCCATGTGGACCGGGCCTGTCTACGGTCACAGCCTTTGTGCTTAATCCCCACGTCCCTGTTGCTGGTTCTTCTGCTGTGCTGTGGGAGTCTGTGACTTCTTTCTTGTTTTCACTTTTGCATTAGTGTGGGTCCTTGTGACCCCTCTTTTGTATAACTAGAGAAGCCTGGATCTCCCTCGGTCAAGCCTCTCACCTTCTGAATTTACCCAGCTCCTTAGCCTACTTATCTTTCTGCAGCCCAGTCGCTCTGATGGGTCACTTCCTGTTCTCTATGGTTCCAGTTCTGTCCATGCATCTGCATGGAGGCCTCCTTCCCAGGTTTCTTCCTCCCTTTCCTCAGGAATTCTGCCCTCTCTGTGTCTCAACAGACAGCCACCAACCCTGGCATCGCAGGCCCTTTTAACTTCTGCTCAGCTCCTCTTTCAGTCAGAGAATAATTTTAGTTGAAATGGTATCCATGCTGTGTCTGTGGCTGGATCGGGATGTTAGCACCTCTCCCATTTCACAGATGAGCAAGCTGTGGCCGACACAGGGTGAAGGTACAAACCCAAGGTCATCTTTCAAGTAAGAAGTGAAGTCCAGAGTAAATCTAGTCCTCTCACTCACAACTCATATCTAGGTCTTCCCTGCCCGTGACATAATGCCCCATCAGTGCTCTAACTGCCCCTCAGAAGTCCTGCCCAGAAGCCACTGATTCCTAGTGACTCCTGTCCAGCCAGTGCCCCACATACCACCGGGACACAGCAGGTACCTGCTCAATACACATTAACTGACTGACCGGAAGTGATGATGCCAAGAGCAAACCATGCCCACAGCCTGCCCCCTGGACCAGTCATTAGTTTCTCCCTGTATGGGGAGGGGCAGGACCAGTCACAGGCTCCACAAGTCCAGTCCCTCAGAGCCCTGCTGGGGAAGCAGATGGCTCACCCGCTCGAATCAGGCAATCTCTTCTTCTCACCCTCTGTGTGCTCTAAGGAGGAGACAGGGTGAAGGACATCAAACTTGCTATCAAAATGTGCCTCTCATAGCTCGGGAGAGGGGGCAGGAAGTTCCCTGCCTGGATGTGAACCAGCCGTGGCCACCACTTAGGGACAGGAAAGATGGTCTGCAGCTCTGGATGGACGCCACCTGGTGTTCACAGCTAATAGTGTTTGAGAAGCCAGGAATTTCTGCTTCTCTGAGAGGCTCTATTGACTATGAGTGTGCATTCCACATGAAACCATATATCTGACAGATTCATTTTTGTTTTCAGACTTTCTAATATTCTTCACATTCACCAGGAAATTCCATATTGGTTAAGTAAGGTCATGGTGAGCTGTTTATCAAACCCTTCCCTGTATGCATCATGTGGAAAAAAAACTTAAGGCGGTTGGAAAAGGTTTGTGTGACTGCGGTAGTGCTGGGATTTGAGCCCAGAGTCAAAGGTACAGGGATGGCCACTTCCCACTGTGAGCTCAGCTCAGGGTCACCCTGGCTTTCCCAGGGCAGGGTACACTGGCCTGTCTAGCTCAGGAAATGGAGGTGGATCCCCTGTGGGGTAGGGGACGAGGACCACAGCCCTAGAATCCTGTTCTTTCCTTGGGTCCACAGTGATGATTCCTTCCCATGGGTATTTTAAATCACCACAAAACCCACAGGCTGCAATGAAGTGGTTTTATGGTGCTGACTGCAGCTGTTTTCCTGCCTAATAGTTTATGAAGGCAATATCCCGGCCTCGCAAGGAAGGTGAGCGGCGGGAGGATTTACCACCAGAGAGGGGCGAAGCAGGCTGCATGCTCTGAGCTGGTAATCATGCCAGAGGGGCCCATCCTGCCTTTTCTTAGTGGAACCGTAGCCCCAGCCCGGCCTATTAATTATTAAACAGATGCTTGGTGAGTGCAGGGCTCCTCAGAGAAAAGAGGGGTGAGAACACCCTCCTGTTGTGAGGAATAGGGGTAGCAGTAGGCTGGCAAGGTCACCTAGCAGGGACAGGCTGATAGAGGGACACTTCCCCTCTGCTTCTGAAGGGCAGTTCCAGGATGACCAGTGTTTCTGACTCGTAAACAATCAGGTCTGGTCACCCTACCCACTTCCCTCAGACTCTAGTCAGCACTCAAAGCTGCCTCCACCTCACTCTGAAGCTAAGGAAAGCTGAAATGAAGCCCACCTGAAGCATGCTTTCCATTCTGCCTGGGCTGGGGAAGCATAAAAGCAAATTTCATAGACCGAAGGCTGCCTTGTTACCGGACTTCAGAGGTTCTATGTAGTCTAGGTGAAGGGCGCCCCCTGGAGTTTACAGCGCAGCTCCTGCTGCTAAAGTCCTGCCCGCGGCTGGACTAAGGAGGACACATAAATTAGGGGTGCTTTCTGCAGCATTAGACCTTGTCAGGAATTTTCTGGTCCTTTAGCTCATGGGGCACTATTCACCAACCCAATTCTTCACCAGTCTTCTCTTCCTTTTCTGGCACACATTACCAGGTCCCTCCCTGCATCTCCTCCACCCCAGGCCTCACCCATAGCCATGGACACCAAATCTTCTCTTCCCTATAGCATCCACGGCTACTCCAGAGTCTCTTCCCATGAGGGGGCACAGGACAGGGGTCTCTCTGGCCTCGCCCTCTCTGTCTTTCATATTCATCAATCAGCAAGTTCAGACAGTCCCTACCTTTTCAGTATTCCTTCATGTGGTCCAGAGCAGAGAGTCATGACCATTGGCTGAACTGACTTGAATTTGAATCCTTTCATGATGCCTAAGGATTCTGAAGTCACCTTCTGGCTTTACTGTACATTATTCCATTGCATGGGCACGTTGAAGAATCCAATCTACTTTCCTCTACTGTGTAGGTGGAAGACTATGAATAAAGAAAGGCGTTTCCTGGCAGGGTTCCAGCAAGTTGAGGCTGTTATTGAGGGGGAGGCCCTTTGGAATGACCCCACACAATGCCTCTGCTGCCCAAAGTATCTCCTACCTTTCTCAGGGTTCTTCAAGCTTGCGCGGACGGTCTCCACCACTTCCTCCACCTCCTCACTTTTGCAGACATTGAGCTGAACGGTTCTCAAGTGGTCACTCTTCAAGCTGTCCAGCTTCTGGGCCCCACTGTCCCCTTTGTTCTGGAGAGGAGAAAGGAGTTGCTTCAATTCACCTCTTTCCCATTCTGAGGTAGACTTGGGGGAGGAAGACAATGGCCAGTGCAGGAATGCTGGTTCTCCAAGAGGCCCAGCCAGACCCGCCCACCTTGGTCACTGAGAACAAAGCAAACACCAGGTCAAGTCCCACAGACACAGTCCCAAATGGTGGGGAGACCTTACGCATCAGGATCCCATCACCATTTCTCTAATTAGGGGTTATAAATGTAAGGTCTACTGTGGCCTGGGACATGGGTACAAAAGCCAGGATGTGCGTGGGACCCTGGGGACCTAAAGTGCATGCCTGGCCAGTCCAGGTAAGTACACATACCCAGAGCTACCAGACGCAATGGGATTTCCGTGTAAAATCACCTGAATTCTTAAGTGCTAGAAATTTCTATACATTTAAAAAAAAAAAAAAAAGGAATACTATGTTGCACTGAAAAACAAAGAACTCATGAAATATTATACAAAATGGGTGACCTGGGAGGACATTATGCTGAGTGAAATATCTCAATCACAAAAGGGCAAATACTTCATGGTGCCACTGTTGTAAAATGGGACTGACATTGGGGTTGGGGGAACCTAAGAAAAGAAGGGATAAATAATATACACTGCATTGAAACAGATGAGGGAGAGAACTGTTTAAGAGGAATATAGGGTTAGGTATTATTTTATGACAATATTACAGAAAAAGAAATGCATATTAAAGTGGACTGTGGATGGGTGGTACTGTATAACAATGAAAGAATTTTTTTTCTTCAAAGAGAAAAATGAGCTGGGGGAAGGAGTGGGCAGGGAGGAAAATGTACAACAATGAATGAATAGGGAAAAATTAAATGGAAAGAATATGCTGTGAAAATATATATATTGCATTAAAAAATCATTAATAATAATAAAATTTTAAAAAAGGAAAGGCTGTGAAGCAGATCACCAGAACTATTTCTCTCAGGGTAACTCTGGGTGAATTTGAACTGCCATCCTTTATGTTACTGAGTGCTTAGCTGCTTGTGCCAATCAAAGGCTCTGGCATCTAAGATCAGATAGGCACTGCTCATTTAGTAAGTATCTCTAGGGTCTCTGGCATGGGCCAGGCCCAAAGATAAAGAACTCAATCCCTGTGCTCAGAGCTTGTCCAGGGAAGGAGATAGACGAGGAAGCAAACAATACAGTATTTGCTGAAGAAACTTGTGTGGCAGGTAGGAGGGAACAGAGAAGGTGGAGGTGAGTAGGGAAGACTTTCCAGACATGTAACTGACACCTGAGGATGTGGTGGGACCAGTGAGGGTTAACAAGGGGACTGGGGTGGCTGAGGAGAGCGAAGGGGGAGGTGGCAATAAGTCACCTGTCACAGCCAGAGCAGAGGCAGAGGGAAGCAGAGGGACTTGAGGCTGGAGAGGAGCGCAGCCAGCTGCTGGAGGACCGGAGTGAAAACAGACGTCATTTATCGAGCATTTCTGTACTTCTCATTGTGCTAACCACTTTGCACGCATTATCTCATTACTCCTTACATCAAGAGGCAGGTTACATCATCACAGCCCATCTATTCCTTGACACATTTTACACAATAGAGATGAGTTACAATTGATGTAGAAATGAAACATAGTCATTTATTATTTACTTGGCTGTTTTTTTTTCCTTAGTGATGCATAGAATGAGGTGATAGAAATGGCTGCTCGCTGGTCCAGGGCTTGTCTGGAGTGTGTACCGTTGTAGGAAGAACAGAAGATGGTCAGCACAGACTGGGAATGGAAAGTTACCCACAAATTAGGCTGAGGCTAGTGACTGCCAAAGAACAAGCAGATATGTCCCAGAGAAGATGCAGCCAGAGTGCTCGGTGGAAGCAAAGATGATGAAGCTTTATCTCACATACTTCGGGCAGGTGGCTAGGAGAGGTTATTCCTTGAAGAGGGGCGTCATGTTTGGGAAGGTGGAGGGTCGGGAAGGAGAGAAAGCCCCTCAACCAGGTGGACTGACACAGTAACTGCAGTACTAGGTTTGAGTGAGTCAGAGATTGTGAGGATGGCAGACGAAAGGACCGGGTTCAGATCTGTTGTTCATATTGTTGCTATGAGTCGTATTCAACTTGGCAGCACCTAACAACAACAAAAGCAAAGTAAAGGGTCTGAATGAGGACAATCCTGGTCCCACCCTGGAGGACCTCAGCAGCACCAGATTTTAGAGGACAGGAACCAGGTACCTTTTATTTACTGCACTTAGTAGTCTTACTGTTTGTAACCATGTGAATACAGCAATCCTGAAACTACTTTTGTATATTATTAATCAAATTAATAAATTTATTGATGCCCTTGGGAAACATGATGGCATAATAGTGACATCTGGCAGTTAAGTGAAGGGTTGGCAGTTTGGATTCACACAGTGGCTCAATCAGTGAAGTCGATGGTGCCTCACTACAGCTCTCGACTGCTTGGATGGGAATCACAGAAGGGCCTGCATAGAACAAGGTGGAAACGTAGAGGGGGGGAACCCCAAAAAATCATAAAAAGGCCTGACTTCATGGTCCTGTAGAGACTGGTGGGACACTGAGACACAAACTCAACCCATTTCCATTGAGTCTGAACCAACTCATAGCTGACCCTCCAGCAAGTTTGTGGAGTCTATAAATAACACAGAAGGAGACTGCCCATCTGTCTTCTGCAGAGCTGCTGGTGGATTTGAACCGACTGCCTTTGGGTTAGCAGCACAGCTCCCTACAGACTAGACCCACAGAGCTCCCCTAAAGACACTTTAAATCTGAAACTGAACCCGTGTCTGTGGATCACCTTGCAACCAAACACCAGACAAGCCCATGAATTTGAAGGCACTTCTCAGAACAATTAACCACAGGAGACCAAGAGATCAGCATTTCTCTCAAAATAAAGCTCAGAAGGCAGAAGAGAAGGATGGATAGAAAGGGGGAACCCAGGGAAGAAGAAGGAAGTGTGCTGTACAGGGAGTGTATTGCAACTATTGTTATGAAACAAAATGTGTATAACTGTTGAATGGAAAACTATACGCTCTGTAAACTTTCACCCAAATCTCCCCGCTAGCCCAAGGCCTGGTGATCTGTTCCTGTGAAGATTACAGCTTGGGAAAACCTAAGGGCCAGTTCTGCTCTGTCTCAGGGAGTCCTTAGGAAACAGAATTGACTCCACTGTACACAACAACAAAGTTGGGAATCAGGGTTCTCCAGCAGAAGGAAGAAACAAATGAGGAATGAGGGAAGTCAGGAAGAATGCTGCTGTTGTGAATTAGAACAGGGGGTCAGTATAAACTCATTGTTTATAAATGTTATGTGTAGGAAGTACGTGTGAACATACGCACAGCAAAACAAATAGGTGAAAATGACTTGTCACCAAGTTGATTCTAACTCATAGTGACTCTAAGTGCTACTGGTACAGCCCTGCTGTATAGGTTTCTGTGCTGTAATCTCTGTGAATGCAGGTCACTAGACCTTTCTCCTATAGCACCACCTCAGTGGGTCAGGATCGTTGTTGTTCTATGTGCTGTCAAGCCTCCTGCAACTCTGTCCCATCCTGAGGTAATCTCACTTCTCCAACACATCTGTCCCTAGTACCCCAGTAATATTCATAACAGCGTTATTCATAATAATAACAAACTGCAAACAATCCATATACCTATTGACTGGTGAACAGACTTTAACATGTAGTGTGTCCATACAGCAGAATACTTTTCAGCAATAAGAAGGGCTTAAGCATATGCTATAAGGGAGCACTGGTAGCCTAGTGATAAGGAGCTGCACTGTAATCCCCATGGCATGAGGTTCGAACCCACCAGCTGCTCTGCAGAAGAATGGGCAATCTCTTCCCGCGTGATTAACTGCCTCTGAAAACCCGCTGGAGGGTCAGATATGGGTCGGTCCAGACTCTACAGTACACAAAACAACAACAACATAACATGGATGAACCTCAAAAACACATGCTAAGTGAAAGATATCTGGCACAAAGGACTTCATATTACATGATTCTAATAAAACTGAAAATCAATGATTGCCTAAGCTGGAGGTGGGAGTAGGAGCACCAGAAAACAGGCAGTAAAAAACTATTTGGAGAGGGAGCTCTGGTGGCATAGTGACAAGAAGCTGCACTGCACCTCCCAGAGGTGAGTGGTTCAAATCCACCAGATGCTCTATTGGAGAAGGAGGGACAATCACCTGCCATACCAGTCAGATCCAATTTGATGTTACACACAAAAATAATAAAAATTTTAAAAAATTTTTTAAAAAACCTATTTGGAGTGGCATAAATGCTGTAGTAGTTCGGATTGTGGAGATTATTTCACAGCTCTCCAAATATTGAGAAAACGGTCCCCTAATTACCTGTAGCTGCATGTCCCAGTGTATTCCTTCATGGCCCCCAAACTCACGCAATGTGCCTAGAAGGAGCCTCAGGCTTCCAAGCCTGTCCCCAGGGCATTCCTTCTGTCTGAAATGTCTTTTCCTCCAAGTGTCTCCCTATCACAGCATCATTCACTCGCCATGGTCCAGAACAAATGTCACCCCTGCTGTGATGCCAAAATCAGTTCTTTCCTCTTCCCCTGGGACAGGGAGCTCCTTGGGGGCAGAGATCTGATCTTACTCTTCCATTGTTGTTGTCGTTGAGTACTGTTAAGTCAGAATCGAACCATGGCTGATCTTCCAGCAGATTTTCAGAGGCAGTTAATTGCACAAGAGGAGCTTGCCTGTCTTTCTCCCATGGGGCATCTGGTGGATTGGAACTATGTCTCTTTGAGATTGCACTGCAGCTTCTTACCACTAGGTCACCAGAGCTCTCTCTCTAAGCAAAATGCTCAACATGTCATTAGCATTTGGTCTATGAATAAATGAATCGATGGATGGGTAAAGCTACAAAGGATAAGTGAGGCTGGGATTAGTGGAGGGTTATGGACTCTTATTAGGAAAACAAACTGCCAAATAGTGACTGCACGTTAGGGACAAGCAGCGCGGTCCCGTCTCTTACCTTCAGCAAGCAGCCAGCAAACACCAGGAAGCCTTGTGAATGCAGATGATTGGCCAAGCTGAACCCAAATCCTGAGTCACAGCCTGTGATCAGGACAGCCTTGCTGCCAACCTGTTTTAGAAGGCCAGAGAACATGTTAGCACCCCAGGGTCCAGAGGGCAGAGTGTCCTGGTCTCCCACCCTCTAGCACAAAGACTGGACGCTTTCTGAATGGCCCAGGCCTGGCCCGTCATGCTTCTGTCAGAAGCACCACAGTGGGGCGGGGAAAGCTCGGACTCAGAATTAAGAGAATGGGTTCTAACCCCGATTTTGTCACAGACTGTATTGCTCCAGGAGTTTTCTTCCCCCTCTTTGGATCTCTAGTTCTTCGCCTCCCATCATCACTATCATTATCACCACCACCAACAACAACTCCACTGCAACCACAGCTAAAGTTTACTATTTGCCATTCCAAAGGTCTATGCACATATTGTTTGTTATTGTTGTCAGTTTCCATTGAGTTGAGTATGATTCACATCAACCCAATGGATAACAGATCTGAACCCTGTGCATTCTCATCATCTCTGACACACTTAAGCCCATTGCTACAGTCACTGTGTCGTTCCATCTCATTGAGTATCTTCTTGTTTCCTGAGCTTCCACATTTCCAAGCATGATGTCCCACCCCAAGAAACAGCTTTTCTTAACAACATTCCCAAAGTATGTGAGCTGAAGATTCACTTACAACATGGTATAATCATAGTTATGAAGTGGTTGTGAAGATTCAAGAAGAACAACAATAATATATGCATATATTATTGCATTGAAAAAGTCTACTGTCAGAGACTTCTGCAAAGTACTAAAGAGCAACGATGTCAGTCTGGAGACTAAGGTGCACCCAGTTCAGGTCATAGTCTCTGCAATAACTTGCTATGCATCAGAAAGCTGATCATATGATCCCTAATCATATTAGGGATGACAGAAAGAGAATTGATGTTTTTGAGGTATGGTACTGCAGAAGAGTACTGAATGTACCATGGGCTGCTAGGAGAACAAACAGGTTTGTCCTGGAGAGGGTGAGAGACTAGGCTGCTCATTGGAGGCAAGGATTCTGAAGCTGCGTCTGACATACTTTGGACACTTTGCAAGGAAGGACCAGTCCTTGGAGAGGGACGTCATGCTTGGGAGGGTGGAGGGGCAGTGCAGGAGAGGAAGACCCTCAATGAGATGGACTGATTCAGTGATGGGGTAATGGCACAGGGTACAGCAGGGTTTAGGGCTGTCACATGCAACTCGACGGCACATAACAATAACATTATTCTTTTTTTTTCTATAATTATATTTTATTAATTTTCATAAACATTTACAGAGATTTTGGGCTTCCACTCATTCATTGACATAACAATAACATTATTCTTACTGAAATGTCACAACTCCAAACTATAATTATCATTTTATAGTTTGCAGGTAAGGAATCAGTTTGTTATTGTTGTGTGTTTGTTTTTTTTTAAATAATCTATGTAGTTAGTAGAAGAAAAGGAACAGACACTAGCACTGAGAGATTTCACAGTCCAAACTCATAATCCCTAACATTATTAAGAAAGCCTAAGCAAATTCAATGTCTTAACCTTTAGTAATGCTGGATGTATGAGAAAGGGGCTCCAGGGTGTAAGGTCATACTCTGAGGGTGGTTGTGGGCCTGGCCAGGACTTTAGAGGAGCACTTGGATCACCCAGACACTTGCGGATGGCTGGGCTGCTACTCACCGGACTCACTGGATCAGCGTAAGTTCGACGATTTATTGAAGCAAAAGAGATGGAGGGAGACAGCAGTGTGTGTCTGCAAGAGAAAAAGGAAGCCATGAATGCAGATGTGGTCACTCCCCTAGACCTTGTTCCTGGGACAAAACAACTCAGAGGGCCTCGGCCACCACTGAGTCCAGAGCAGCTCTGTTGTCTCCCCATCCTGAACCCCTCTGTCTCTGTGGAGACAGAGTCTTCCTGAGGACAAAGCCCATTTAGAAGCTACTTGTGTTGGGAGGCTTGATCTGAACTTGGCTGACCTTGCCCTTATACCAGTAAAGTTCTTTACTGTGCTTTCCAAAGGGATGTTGCTGACCCTCCATCAGGTTTTCAGAGGCAGTAAATCACAAGCAGCTGATTCAAACCAAGCACCTTTGGGATTGTAACATATCTTTTTACCACTAGGCCACCAGAGCTTCCTCCAAGTGATAGCGACACTATTTCAGGCTAATGCAAGTGTGGGCTATCCTTCCAAATACATAACTTTATTAAGAAACCCTCTGCGAATTTAATGTCTTAAGTCCACACATGTTACCATGAGTCAGAATCAACTCAACAGAAACTAACAAGTTTAATGCTATTTCTTGACATTTTTTTAAAATGAAACTTTTTCCTTTGACAGCTGTTAATATTGACATATAATTTTCAGAATGCAGAGAAATGCCTTTTATATTTTACCCAATTTTCCCCACTAGTAACAGCTTAGAACACTATAATGAAATATCATATCCAAGATAATGATACTGATACCGTCTAGATAGAGAACTGGATAGAGTGTAGATACCATTAAAATACAGACCTAGATGCATCTGGGTCATTAATATCACATACAACTGAACTCTGGTTGAAGATTGTTTTTAAAACTTCTAGGGTGTCAGGAGGAAGATAACTTCCAGAAATTCAAGTTGGATTTAAAAGAGGCTATAGAATGAGAGACCTCCTTGCTGATCTTGGCTGAAAGCAGAAAATACAAGAAAGATGTTTGCCTGTGTTATATTGATCATGCAAAGGCATTTGGCTGAGTGAATGGTAATTAACTATGGATGACACTGAGAAGAATGGGAATTCTAGAATTATTTTTTAATTTTTTCTTAATTTTGTGTGTTTGTGTGTGTGTGTGTGTGTGTGTGTGTGTGTGTGCATGCCATCAAATCAAATCTGACAAGTAAAGGAGGAGATTGTCCCTCCTTCTCCAGCAGAGCATCTGGTGGATTTGCACCATGAGCCTCTGGGATTGCAGTGCAGTTTCTTGCCACTACACCCCCAGAGCTCCCTGAATTCTAGAATTCTTTATCATGCTTATGCAAAATCTGTACACACACTAAGAAGCAGCTGTGCAAACAGAATAAGGGGATACTGTATAGTTTATAACCAGGAAAGATATGTCAAATCCTTTCTCCATTCCTACTCAACATGTAAGCTGGCCTATATGAGGAAGAATGTGGTGTCAGGATTGGGATAAGACTCATCAACAAAGCCTTCCTTGAAGAAAGTGATGAAGACTTGAAGCTCTTACTGAAGAAGACCACACACTACAGGCATCATTATGAATTGCATCTCAACAACAAGAAAACACAAATTGGATTTTTAGTATATGGAGCAGGAGGAATAGAGGGGGGGAAATTGTATGGGCTACTCTGCCTAGAAGTTCTGGTCATTTTAAAATTAATATTTGACCAGTAACAATAATGTTCCCTGGTGATGTGATGGTTAAGCCCTTGGTTGCTAAAAGAAAAGCTGGTAGTTTGAACCCACCCATTGGCTACATATTGAAAGATTTGGTTATAAGAAAGATTGTTCAAAAGAAAGGTTTAAGAACGTTCTTAGACATCAGAACCTAGACACCCATTTGGGGAATTCCTATTCTGACACATAGAGTACTATGAGTTGTAAGGACATTCCAAGACACCAAAAATTTTAGGAGGGGGTGATGAATGAAGGCTGTTAAACAAGGTAAAAGAGCTGTGACTTTTTACTGGGTACTTTGTACCATTTAAATGTCATCCTGTTCAAAACATAAGGTTATTTTAAACACTCATAGAAATGTGTCACCCAACATGCTTTTTTTTATAAAAATTTTCTTTTATTTCACCCAAAATTCTTAAGGGAGGTTGGGTTCACTAGAAAAGAAATGTGGGTCTACCAAGAAACTCTTTTTCCCTTTGAACTACCTTGTAATTGTTGCTATTAGGTACCATTGAGTCAAGTATGGTTCATAGCAACCCTATGAACAACAGACCTGAACCCTGTCCTATCCTGTGCCATCCTCATCATCTCTGACACACTTGAATCCAGTGCTGCCGTCACTGCGTCAATCCATTTCACTGAGGGTTGTCTTCTCTTTCATCGACCCTCCATCTTTCTAAGCATGTCTTTCTCAAGGAATAAGTCTTTATTTTAGAGGCTTGTACAAAGTCTCCCGGATAGCATGGTTGGTCAATCTCCTGGAGGCCAAGGTTGGTACATCCAGAGTAGGCTGAATGATTGCATTACTGCTGCTGTTGCTGTGTGCAGTGGTATAATGGGTCAATTGCAATACCTAGTGATCTCATAAGACAGAGCAGAACTACCCTATGGAATTTTCTAGGCTGTACTCTTCATAAGAGTACAATGTCAAACCTTTTCTCCCATAGAGCTTCTGGGCAGGTTAGAGCTTCTGGACAGGTTAGAACTGCTGATCTTTTAATTAGCCACTGAGATCTTAACCACCAAGGCACCAAGGCTCCCTACACATCTAGAATCTCTACTTCCCAATGATCCAAGCTCTGCGAAAAGAACAAGAGGTTTCCCTGTTGAAATGGATTATGTGCGTGTCCCCCTCCACTTACTAAGTACTCCCTGATATTTAAAAACATTAACATAATGGTCATAGCAAGAGATACAGCTTATTATTTCAGACCGACTTGCACCAATTTTTTCCAACCTACCTGCTTATCTACAAAGAGGACTGAAATGTGACGATTCCTGCATGGATTACACCACTCACTAACTGCTCGCACACTTGTACAGTTCCCTGTCAATAGTCTATTTCTGCTTCTGCAGAGAGCATGAAGCTGAATCCATTCTTGTCCCCAAGGGGCAACCCTGACAAGGTGGGCTTGTCAGGATTGAAAACTTCCTGAGAAGCTCACGGGTACTGCGTGGCCTCTCAGCCGGCCCCTCCTGGCACTGCCAATATTGTCCCATCGATCTCTTCTGTTTCTTCATTCTGGAACACCTGCTGTTACTATAATATCCCTGACTTACAAGTGCTTCTCAAGCTGCAAGGGCCTCTGGAAGTTCCTGGGCAGTAGAATGGGCCACATATTTGACGAGTAATGAAAGTTTGGAGATTTGAATCCACCCAGAGGCACAATGGAAGAAAAGTCTGATGATGATCTATTTTTTTAAAAAAATATAAAAACAATCATTGGTGGTCACAGGGAGCAGGGTTCTACTCAGATACTCATGAGGTCGCCATGAATCAGTTGACACAAGGGCAACTGGAAGCAGCATTAGGCCTGAGAAGATCTTAGCTCATCAATTCTCAAGCTTCTATCAGCAGCACGAGGAACGAGTTAAGATGCACACTCCCAGGCCTTAGCCTTTAGTAGTCCACTTCAGGAGCCGGGGCAGCACCTGAGAATGTGCACGTTTAACAAGCACCCAAGGTGACTCTGAACGGCACATCCAAGGGAAGGGCTGTTGGGTCTGGTCCAGAGCAAGGGTTCTCAGGGTCTGGTGGGTTGTTTATTAGAATCTCCTGGCGATCTGATCATGGTTCTGTGTCTATGTTACTAAGAAGCGTTGTTATTTAGAGCTACCAAAAAAAAACCCAAGCCCGCTGCTGCCTGGTTGGTTCAGACCCACAGACACCCTCCAGGGGGTTCTATCGCTGTAAATCTTCATTGTGGGCAACTGCCAATCTTTCTCCCACAGAGCAGCTGATGCATTCCAACTACCAATCTTCTGGCTAGTAGCACAACACGTAACACACTACACTGCCAGGGGCCTTTCTTTTTATCTACTTACTGTTGTTTGTTGTTGTTGTTATGTGCCGTCGAGTC